TTGAGATTATTAGAATTATATTATATTATTATTTTAGAAGATATAATCTATATCTATTTTGGAGGAAAAATACTATTTTAGAAATAAATCCTACTTTGGAGGACAAATACTATTTTATAAATCAATCCTATTTGAAGAATATGAATATTGATGGGTTATAATTAGTATTGTCAAAGTGGGTCGGCAGACTCTACTGCAACTTTTGTGGCCTGGCCAATGAACCCTAGTCCGTTCCATGCGGCTTGGCGGGCCTTATGGGTTGGCTTAGTTCTCTGATCTGTTTGTATTTCGAACAATGAAATTATTTTTTTGAGTGTAAACTACGAGGTGGTTCGGATTTTCTCTAATTGTTTAATGGTCCAGGTTCACCCGACTAATCACGTTCGCTCGTTCCGGAAGGCATGGGAGTTGACTCGAAGGATATTTGTGGGAATCAAACTCGGGTTATCTTGAAGTTTTTTCTCCACTCATTTGCCACTTGAACTACCCCATTGAAACTATACTTAGTAAAAACTTGTCATTCATTTGCAGGTAATTCGTCTGCTCGCACGTTCACGGGTGTCAAAGTCTCCATTAAGCGATGTCTTTCTGCCTAATCATGGGGCAACGAGCATTCATGCGAAACCTGAAAGAACCTCGTCATCCGCCTCTATTGATGTGATTGGGACCGCCTCTATTGATGTGAGTGGGACAATTGATTGTGGAGCTTCCGTTTTGTATCAAGTAAAACTAAACAAAAATACAAACAACCTAACACACGCTGGGTGGATTAGGTTTAGGATGGGGAGTATTTAATTATTTATATAATTACTAGTTTTTTACGCGCATTGCGCGATTGGAATAATGCCTAATATGTTTTTGTTAAATAAGTACTTTAAAGTATATTAAGGCATGATTATATTAAAATTGTTCATGCATAGATAATTGAAGGTTGAATTTGCGTATTTAAATAGGTAATTCTTCTCCCAAAGGTTGAGTCCCAACCCCAAAGTTGTAAATCACGGTGACTTAATGGTTCAACAGACAGGGCCAAATGCTGATACGCACAAGGAATCTGCCCACTTTGGACATAATTCCCGCACTGCCGCCGCCGAGGTTCAAACCTTGGTCTCTTCTCCCAAATACTATCCACTAAATCATTGAGCTAAGCCCGTGCGAGTTAAATAGGTAATTCTAAGTTTACAAATGCAAGATAATATAGTCAAGATTGATTATAATTGTCAATAAAATAATTGTATAGGTATAGTTGAAACCAAATACGGGACATAAGGGAGAACAAATAAAAATTAGGGCATAAAATATTAAATATATACTAATATTGTTTGAGGAGATTCCAACATTAAGATTTGTGGTTAAGTTCTATTAAGGCTTTAATATTAGAATTAGATTAATGCTGTAGTTATAATTCTATATTAGACTTTAATATTAGAATTAGACTAACGGTGAATTAACGGAAAAGATAAATGGATAATCATATAATTAAGGATAAATTAGAAAATCTTAAAAGAAAAAAATTAAAACCTGAACAATATGAACCATTCATTTGATTTAATAATTTGGCGGTCATTTTTTCTACCCAATGTTAATAATTGAATAAATTCGCTGGTCAAATCCGCTAGTATAATCCGCTAACGCTAACCGTTGATTGTCAAACAAGGACATTGCGAGGTAGTTCTCACTTCAATTTGTTGTGTGATTTGAATACTCTCTTTGTCACAAAATCTCTCAAGTAGTTAATATGGTTGGCTTTATTAATTATATTTTTTTAAATTTTTTCATGGTATTAATAAAATACTTGGTAAATAAATATATAGCATTATTTTGTATTATAACTTTGATATTTAATTAGAAAAATAGTGCACAAAAAAGATAATAGATAATGTAGTGAATATAATCAATTGATGAATTTGAATGTAAAAATTTTTACATTTGAGAAAAATAAAGACAATATAACTAATTGAAAATATTTCTTTTAATTACTTTATTGATAATTAATAATTTTTTTTTCACTGAATAAAGCCATTGTAAGGACAATGTAGCGAATATAATCAATTAATAAATTTGAATATAAAGAATTTTTATATTGAAGAAAAATAAAGACAATATAACTAATAAAATTATTTCTCTTATTTAATTTATTGATAATGAATATTTTTTTTTTTGAATAAAGGCATTGTGGACACATAATTCTAAATTAAAGAAATGCATATGTATTATTTTTTGTTGTAACTACTAAATTATTATTTATATAATTTAATAAGAGTAAAATAGAGTACTAATTATGCCAACTTTGATTGGGATGAGGTTCGAACCTAAGACTTTTTTTTTTTTATTGAAATCAATGAGTAAGTTAACGGTGAACTAACGACAATTCTTAAAACTTTTACGGAATTAGTAATGGTGTGTGGGTATTTTAGGAAATTTGAGTGTAAAATTTAAATCTGATCAATTTTTTAATCAATTTGAGCCATTCATTTGATTAAAATCTGTGACCGCCATTTTTTCTACCCATTATAGGCCTAACTCTCTTGGGCTCTTATTAGTATACTAGTTTTTCTACGCGCTTTGCACGAATAGGATAATGCCCAATACTTATTTTTAAATAAGTATTTCAAAGTATATTAATGAAATATTATATAGAAGATGTTCATGCATAAGTAAATAAATGTTGAATTTGTTTATTTAAATCGGTAATTTAAAGTATATAAATGCACGATAATATATGAGAGGTTGATTATATATAACTGTCACAAAAATAAATGTTTGCTACTTTGTAATAACGCTAATCTAAGTACTAAGTCTAAAAGCGATAGTCTAAATAAATACTCTTTTTGGTTTAAATTTTTCTAATTCTCTTTTGGGTAGCATTGTTATTGTTTTCATCTTCAGTACATGTCTTTATTTTTTTTTTTGTTATTGGTAGTGTGTCATGTGCAATTGGGTTATTGGTGGTATCATAGAAGGATTCATCATGCAATGAGATTATGGAGTATGAAGTTTTAGATTTGTTTTGTTGTGTATATGACTGAGATCTTAGTTGTGCTATGAACTATTTATCTTACAAACACATGTTGATATTTGGTAGTAGTAGTTTTCCCCTACATGTTTCATGTGTTGTGAGACATCTAATTCTAAATTAATTAAATGCGTATGTATTTTTTTTGTTGTAGTTACTAATTTATTTTTTAATTTAAGTAATAAGAGCAATAAAGTGGGCAAATTATGTTGTGGAACCGTGTCCACCTTGCAAGGTGGACATGGTTCTAAAATTGTCCATAATTATGAATATATAGTTCAAAAATTATAAACATATAGTTCTATAATTATGAACATAGAGTTGTGAAGATAACTATGAACATATAGTTCTGTAATTATGAATATAGAGATTCAATAATTGTGAATATGAAGTTAAAAAATTATGAATATATACCTTTATAATTATGAACATATAGTTCAGTAATTATGAACATAGAGTTCTGTAATTGTGAATATAGAGTTCAATAATTATGAATATGAAGTTCAGTAATTATGAACATAGAGTTCAGTACATGTCCTTTTTTTTTTTTATTGGTAGTGTGTCATGTGCAATTAGGTTACTGGTAGAAGCATAGAGGGATTCATCATGCAATGAGATTAGGGTGTAGGAAGTTTTAGATTTGCCTTGCTGTGTATATGACTGAGATTTTAGTTGTAATATGAACTCTTTAACGTACAAACACCTATTGATATTTAGTAGTGGTAGTTTTTTCCCTACATGTTTCATGTGTTGTGAGATGTGTGTCGTAGGTAATCATGTGAAAGTATTGAACAAAATATTAATATTTATTATATTTGTATAAAATACTTGATAAATAAATAAATAAATAAATAAATAACATATTTATTTATTTATTTATTTATTTATTTATCAAGTATTTTATACAAATATAATATTCATAATCATAATATATGTTTAACAATTATGCCAACTATACTTGTGATGAGGTTCGAACCTAAGACCTTATATAAATTAAGAGTATGTTAAGAATAATAAATAGTTAACGGAATATTCCGTTACTAAAGTTTAAACTAACGGAATTTAGGGTTATTTAAGGGAAAAAAATAATATAATAGAGGGTAAATAAGGAAAATCATTAAAAGATACTAAAATCAAAATAATATGAACCATTCATTTTAAGAAACAATTAGTACCGACATTTTTTTTGTTCCAGTTAAGGGCCTAACATTATTCGCTCTTATTAAATTTGTAGATGTAGATTTGTAGATTTGTAGATGTAGAAATAATATGAACCATTCATTTTAAGAAACAATTAGTACCGACATTTTTTTTGTTCCAGTTAAGGGCCTAACATTATTCGCTCTTATTAAATTTGTAGATTTGTAGATTGTAGATATAGTAGATATAATTATATATATTATATATATTTTTAATTTCTTGGCCTATTGGTTGACTTGTAGCCTGTGTGGGTTAAAGGTCAATTCTAGCCCGTCCCTTTAGATTCGTATTTTTGCGGGTCTAATTTTCCATTGACTGAAGGGAGAAAGGAAAGGAGGACGCGGTTCTGGTTGTCGAGGCGAAAGTGAGGAGAAGAGAAGGGAAGGGGGTTGCTGATTCGAAGGTGAATGATGGTGAAGAAGCAATGGTATAATTATATATATATATTCATAGTAGGGTTACTATTTTGGGTAGCAGGTTATATATTTAGAGAGAATGGGCTAAATATTGGGTTAGGTTATAATAAAAATTAGGCTAAATATTTGAGTTTGGGTAATTTGGGTTCAAGAATAACTATAAAATATATATATATATATATATATATATATATATATATATATAGAATAGAAATCATACAGGAACCCGTTGTTAGGTAGGAACGTAAGAACTAATCTGAATCATTTATTTAAATCAATCTACGGTATATGTTTAATTATTTTTGAGTTTTAGTTTTTTGCGCAGAATAGGGGTTTATTTGCGCGTGTAGGGGCATTTTTGTCAGTGCAAGTTGAGAAGCGCGTGGAGTGAGTTTTAATCGCAGATCTTTCGCTATCTTTGTTTGGTTGGAGTTGCGCAGCGTAGGTCCGTAGGTCAGTATTCAGGACTCCGGATCAACTTCGTCCTCGTCGATTGAGTTCCCGTTTGAGATGGCCGGAAACGTTGGTCGGAACCCTAATCGTCCACGGTCGGAGATGACGTCGGCTGCTGCACCAGGTTCCTTTTCTCTCTTTTTTTTCTTTTTTTTTTTTTTAAATTTTATTTTATTTTATTTTATTTTGGTGTTGTCTCTGTTCCGACGGTGCTGCCATGTGTGTTTTTGTTGTGAGGTTTTGGTTTAGGAGTGGAGGAGGAATTTTGGTTGGTGGTGTTGTCGGGTAATATGGTGAGTTTTGAGGTGGGGGATGACGGCATATCTCTTTGGGAGTGGAGGGTGTGGGGGCTGCCGACGTATCTCTTGGGGAGTGGGGGGGTGGGGGGTTTGGTTCACCGTCGGCTACTGCTGCACCGCCGGTTTCTGGTTTTTTTTTTTTTTTTTTTTTAATGTTTGCTTGTTTTGTTTGTTCTAGTCTATTGGCTTCAATGTAGTTAATTTGTATGAGATAGACATATTTGATAGTAATCGTTTTAACAGAACAAGGTAGTGTAGTTGCAGTTTGGTAAGACTAAAAACAGTCCATACAAAACCAGAACAAAAAAAATACATTGGTTGGTTTATCCAACTCTGTCTACTATCTTAAATTTCCCCATTATTTCCCCCCGAGCTCATGTTTAAATTCAAAAGCATATAAACAGTATGGTCTTGCAATGGAGTTGGGTGTGGTTGTGAGCATTTTATTAAGTATTTTGTTGGTCCAACAAGGTTGTGAGTCCAAGGTTGTCCAATTCATCTTCTGCAATTCCCTGTCGAAGATAGACTACACTGGTGTGTAAATTTATATTGTTAGTCCTAAAAATTTTTCTGTCATCTAGTAGGTTCGTGTGTTAGTGCCGGCCTTTTTTTTTTGTTGCAATTTACTCTTCGACATTTTTTTAGAACCTCTTCAATTTCGACATTGAATATGCAAAATAGAATTGACACCTATATTCATGAATTTTCTCTATTCAATTGTGGTGCATCCTACTTATTTTTGTATTTAGCGTGTGTATTTTAGTACTTCTGTGGGTGCCCTTGTGGCCATTGATGTGTGCAGTACGTGTGTCACAGGTTGGAATTTAGCGTATTAGATTGTGTGGGATTGGTATATGTAATTTTCATTTCGTTGTTATTTCGTAATGCAATTTTTCCAGCGTATTTTTGTCATTTGGCACACACATATACACTTGAGTGCATGATGTCTACGCCAAAACATTCTCGTATTGTGTTGGAATACCCATGCATTTTTGTCCTTTGGCACACACATACACTTGAGTGCACGATGTCTACGCCAAAACATTCTGCTGGTGTTGGTTTTCACGGTTTGGCACACACATGTACTCATGTATGCTCACACTGGTTTTTAATGAGTTTAATGTCCCACCACTTGTGTCCTCTTGCTTGGTTTACTTTTGGTGCATTTTTAAATCGTGTCTTGCTAATGCTTTGCGTGCTTTGACAGAAAGATTTTTTATCCGTGTTCCTTGATGATGTGGTTGATATATGGTACGGGGTAGTTGTACGAATGATTACCCCTAGGAGAATGCAAATGCATTGGCGGGATATGCTTAACAAAGTGGATTGCGGGGTCTTTGCTATGCGGCACATGGAGACCTTCTTGGGGGCAATTGGTAAATGCTTGGGATTGTGGTCTGCGCAAGGGTGATAGTAGGGGCGTCGATTTATTGAGGGGAAGTTATATGCACCAACTTTTGTCGGTTGAGTTAAACATACATCATTCGAAAAACATTCAGAATGCAGTTGAATACCGTGACGTTAGGGTGAAACATAGATACGATTATTTGGGTGGAGCTAGGTCACTAGCTATTAAGCTTACTTTGTTTAGTTTTAGTTTTGTATTTAGATTATGGTATTCAGGAGCTTATTTTTTGATTCATTTGGCACATTTTATCTGAATAAATGGGTATTCGAATTCGCAATGTATGGTAGTTACAAGTGCATCTACGATCATCATGGGTATGGGGGTTCAAAAGAAGAACCAACAATGCCATAGCACTGTGGGTAGGTGTGTGCACTTACGCACGGGTAGGGGGTGCACAACCATAAATTTTCACCCGTCTGTGCACTTCAGCATTGTCGACTGTGCCGTGCTGAGGGGAATGGTCTGAGTTCATTAGGCGTGGCACCCTCTGTTTGATACGGTGCACATTCACCACTATAAACACTTTTTCTCAAAAGCACCTTCCAAGACAGTTGGGTTTTATTAAAATCATCCTGGCATAGATATAACTATGTGAAAACAGTATGTTAAACAATTATTCTAACACGAATTGACTAATAAAGGAATTTAAATAATTTGTAAGGCTTAAACTCTGAATGGCACACACTGTTAGCCCTGAGGTGCTCAGTAGCAACGCATCAGGTCATTCTGTTAGGCCCGTTTCTAAACAATTTTTCCAACACAAAAGAACTAATAAAGAAATTTAAATAATCTATAGTGCAGAAACTCTGAGTGCCACACACTCTTGGCCTAAGGTGCTCCGTAACATACGGTCTTGTTTTTAGAATTGCAAGCGGATCAACAGGCGAGGCACACTCTGTTTGTTGGAGGTGCACATAGCCCAGTACATTCTCATTTTTCCAAGACTGACTTCTAGAACGGATTGGTTGTAATGAAATCATGCTGACACGTATATGGCTATATTAAAACTATTTTGCTGACAATTATTCGCACATCAAACCCAGTAGTAGTAGGTTTCTTCGCCTGTTCACACACTGGAGTCCAGTACTTCGTTGATCCGGGAGAGATATTCATCAAACACCCGGTTGACCCCATTCGTACGTTGTCTTCTCCTGTTGAGGATTGCAAATTTATTAGTCCAGTTAGTAGGTAACTGTTGCGGCATCAAGAGTATAGCCAATGGGCACGTTGACCACAACACAGGTGCACATACGCCCATTATTGCCAATGTGCACATTGACCACAACACAGGTGCACATACGCCCATTATTGCCAATGCGCACAATCCCGTCCCACAGGTGCACACGTGGCCACTATAGCCAATGTGCACTACCCCGTCAATATGGGTGCACACAGCCACAATTGCCCAGGTCTGTGTGTTCCGTAAGGGGATGGCGAACTCATTTTGGGGGGCTTGAACATCACACGTTTGGCATGCGTTTTCCATAGTTCTATGGGATTCAATTTAATGTGTCAGTGCATGCTTAAACACTCCATTATCATTCCCATCAAATTTAAATTACAAACACAGCCATCGTTACGAATTCATAGGGCAGAAATAACTTATGTGCGTTGTATTCTCTTGCCATCGTTCTACCCGGAGAAGAAAACTAGGACCACGGGTTTGGATGGTTTTCTGTTGCACACGCTCGGTGGTTAACCGATGCCGTCCCTCGTCGGAGATGCTTTCGAATCAGAGTTGTCGTTGGTGGAAGTGGAGAAGAATTAGGATCCTTTGTAATCTTGTCTGCTATATTGTAGGACAAAATTGAGTTTTAATATTATTTATTTATCCAGGGGTGCTGGAAATTACCCGTGTATCCCTAGTAATTACTTACATTAATGTGCTTCTTATTATTGATTAATTAATCTAAACTGTTGATTAATTTTTAATCTAAGGTTAGGATTAGTTCTTATGTTCTTACCTAACAATGGTTCTTACATGAAGCTCTCCCTATATATATATATATATATATATATATATATATATATATATATATGTATGTATACGGAAAATATAAGCCAATGAGTGGTTAAGGTCCTTTAAATAATATGATGCTTAAACTATTATTGCAAAGGTCTATTTAAATAATAGAGACCTAGTAATTTATGCCTCATATTATTTAAAGGATTTTAACCACTCATTAAGTTAATTTATGGTTAATATTAAATCATAAGTCAATTAATGAGTGACTTGCATTTTTCACACACACACACACACACACACACACACACACACACACACACACATATATATATATATATATATATATATATATATTTGTAGTAGAGTTACTATTTTGGCAGTTGTTATATTATAGACCACGGTGCATAATCGATTATGCACCGCGGCCCATATACGGCGCCGTTTCTTTAAGTAAAGAAACAGTCCGCCGTTAGAGTTAACGGAGTCCGTTTGTTTGGTCTATTAAACACTAACTGACATTACAGTATATTCAAACCGACACTGCAGTTATATCAAAATGATACTGTAGTTATAGTGAAATGAAACTGCAGTGTATATAAACTGAAACTGAATAACATTTCACATATTTGAGTGTATATTGTACAATGAAGCTGTAATTATATCAAAATGATCATGTAGTTGTGTTTTAATAAAACTATAGTGTATATAAAATAAAATTAAATAACATTTTCACATATTTGAGTCTATAAATATCGAATGAAACTATAGTTATATCGAAATGAAACTGTAGTTGTGTTCAACTGAAACTGCAGTGTATACAAAATGACACTGAATAACAGAGTTACTTTTTGCAAAAGGGTGCGAAACGGCGGAAATAAACACTGTTAATTTTCATTTAAAAAAAAAGACGCGCGGTGCATAATCGATTATGCACCGCGGTGCATAATATAATTTGCCCTATTTTGGATAGTGGGTTATATATTTAGAAAATAGGTTAAACATTGGGCTAGGGTTATAATTAGAAATTGGGTTAAATATTTGGGCTTGAATAATTTGAGTTCAAGATTAATTATAAAATATAATTAATTTTGAACTTAAAAATTACTAAGTTCAAATATTTAGCCTAATTTCTAATTATACATTTAGTCTAATGTGTAGAATATTTTTTAAATATATAGCCCACCTACCAAAGTAGTAATCCTATTATATATATATATATATATATATATATATATATATATATATATATATATATAAAATAGCTTTGTCCATCTTATTGAATCGGCAGCTTTGTATTCACCTTCATCCCTTCCTCTTTTCATGATGGCGGCGTTTCTTCTCCCCTTCACCATTCTTCTTCTTTGATCAAGACAGCACCATCACCCTCGTTGAACTTCCTTCACTAGCGAAACTAGTGGTAGAGTGACTTGGACCTTGATGGAATAATTACGGAGCGAATCCGGAACGACGTGATATGGAGCGAATCAGACCTAATATCCGACCTGACTGCGCACGCACTCGGGAAGACCATAAAGTGGTCTGCCTCCCAAAGGACCTTGGGCACTACCCCGGCGTCGGCCTAGGGTCGGCTGAGGTGAGGTCGGCCACCTCGTGCACTTCGCTTGGTTGAGCTCCGAGCTCGGCCAAGGGACGGGGTTCTCGTGTTGACTGGGTCTTGCGGCGGCGGTTGTGATCCAAGCGGCTCCCATCGCGTCCTCTGAGGTTGGTGGGGTGACATTGAGTATAAAAACCCTCACTTGTGTCTTGTTCAGACATCTCATGTCTTAATTACACACTTGTCTCGTTATTACATTCTCCATAGTTTTGTAATAGCGTTTTATACACAATTAATGCAATACTAGTCCGCATGATTATATTCGTATCATAATTCCAAACCCCTATTATCGTTTAATCCTTGACTTGTCACAGTTAATCATTTATTCGAGTTAATTGATCCGGATCTCGGATTAATTAATTCCATCAGACCTCTTCCGGCAAGCTGCTATTCCCTTGACGGTCCCTGTTTTCGGCAGAACAGAGCATTTCGGCAGTGATGCGTGGACAAGCCTGGTGAAGCAGCGGGTAGATCTTTTCCTCCGGCGATCCCTCCCAACTTAGCAGTGGATTGGCGGCATCCCCTGTTTTCCTCTGCGGCTAGCAGCAGAGCAGCGGGTGTTGGTGACGAAGAAGCAGCGACGGCAATCTTCACTCTCCGGCGGCAGTTACGGTGAAGACATTCTGGCAATAGGTTGTGGCGGTGGTCCGAATGCTTAGGTCAGAAGATGTTATTGAAGCTTGATGATGATGAAGCTATATGTTGATGATGATTACTGAATGATGGGTATAATAATGCTAGCAATGAGTAATGGTTATGTTGTTGATAATGCTTATGGATTATTAATTGATTAAAGAGGGTGATTAGCACGCTAATGGGAATTAATGATTAAGATGATAGATTATGGTAATTATGATGATGAGGTCGTGATTGGTATGATGATGATGCTATGGTAGTTTGATGATGATGATGTGTGATTATGGGTGTTGTCGTGTTGATAATGATTTAATGGTGATTATTGAATAATGATTCCACTAATTATGAAGCATGATGTAGATTAATATTGGAGTATTGGACTAATGATGAGTAATGATGGATTAATTATTGGTATAAGTGATAACGGATTTGTTGTTGATAGAGGGATGATTTTGGAATAATTAGGAAGTTGATGATTCAATGAGAATAATGGTTGTATCATCTCTATCTCTATCTATATTAAAGCAAAACAAAGGGAGCAAAAAAATCCCGCCCAAATGGAACAGCGACGTTTTGACAAAGGCGGATAATTTATTGTTAAAGCTTCGAAAAACGAAAGGTCTCCGATTGAGTATAATACCTACAGTTTATATAAAACCTATTTTTTAAAATATATTTACGGCTGATCACTCTCCCATCCAATTGGATTGGAGGATGTATTTAATCCATACATAATCTTAGGTATTTACTATGGGACATATGGGAGATTGAGTCCACGAACCCATACATATTCTCTAGGTATTTACTAGCTGTTTATATATACATCACATACTCCATATACAAAGCTACTCAATACATTCGAAATTTCCATAGATAGAGATACTCTCTGATTCTTCTTCCCTTCCACAAAATGTTTGTCCTTGCTAGCCAAATATCTCCAATGAATACCAGGCAGGCTCTTAGGCTACGGGTGGTGCAAGCATATCAGATTCCTGAGAAAAATGATCCATCGAAGATTAGATCAAAAGAAATTGTTTTTCATAATGAAGAGGTAAGGACCATCTAACAGTAGATAGAGATAAGCAGTCCAGCTTATCTATAATAGTTTTTTAAAGAGCCTTACATACCGTCTTTTTACATTTACAGTGATGATTGTTGTTATCTATACACATAGATTATATATATATTTACAGATCCTATTTTTGTTATTTACAAACACACAGGGTTCCTTCTTGCATGCTCATGTACCAAAAGAGTATGTTGAAAAGTACCTTAGCTGTTTTTCAGAAGGTTCAGTGTATGCTATAAAAAAAATTTTGTGTGATCACAAACTTTTACTCATACAAAACCAGTCCACAAAAGTACATGATAAAATTTAACTATCAGACTATGGTTAAGGATTTAAAGCATGTGAAGTTTCCTATGAAAATGTATCGGCTGAAGACCTTTAAAGAGATCAAGTCTAATGAAGGCCTTGATGAGAAACACATATTTGGTAATCTGTTCTCTCATTCAGTCTATCCTTTCCAAATAATTAGTAATTTTACTATTATTATATCATCTAATGCATTATTTTGTAGATGTTATTGGTCGAGTTATTGAAATACACTGCCCACAGGAGAAATTAATTAATGGGAAGAACTCCAGGCTGATTGACTTCACTCTTGAAGACACCAAGTACTACTGAAAATCACTGCCTTTCTATCATTTTTTATTAATGCTGTTTTTCTAATATATTATCAAAAAAATTGTAGTGGAATACAACTAATGTGTACTTTGTGGGATGAACACGTAAGCAAGATTGAGGCATTCTACAATTCTACTTCACAAGAACCATTGTTGGTCTTGGTACAGTTTTGTAGGGCAAGGGTGTGTTTAAAAAGTAAGTAGATTACATATTGTGTCTGTGTAACTATCTTATATTATCAATTACATCTTAAAAAGTATTCTTAAAACATCTTTATAGCCTAATGTGTACTGATACTATTTTCTAAAGGTGGTGATGTCAAGATTTGTAGCTCCTATGATGTAACACAGCTGCTTTTCAACCAAGAATCTCTTCCCTTTGAGGAGTTCAGGAAGAGGTTAGTCAATTAAAATTATTGCACTACTATCAGTTACATTTATATTCCATTCTTATCTCAAATTCTTATTTTATGTTCTGTATTACTTATATATTACAGGACGAGTCATGAACAGACTCCAATGCGCACTATTATATCGCAATCAAGTTTTAAGGAATGTAGTTCATATTCAGTTGCACTATCTGGTGATATGGAAGTGCGTACTATCAGTGAGATCTACAGAGACAAGGAGGTAGTATTTACATAAATTTGTGCTTACTTTAAGAGATATATGCTGGCATCTTCACATTTGGAAAAATTGTCATGTCTGAATGGCATTTGCTGAACTCCTCAGTACACTGGGCACTACAATCTGTAGTCTTATGCCTGCATTTCATATTTTGGATCAGATAAATGGTAACACAAATTGTGGAATGTGATAAAATCTTATAGAGCCTAACATTGGTTGCTTATCTAATTTAAGAATTAGAGACCACCATCTGTTGTGGCAGTTCTGTTTTTTGGTTTTTGCAAGCATATACTCTCTAATAAACCCAAACCTGCAAAATCAGAACTGATATTTGTTAGTTATATAACCTAATGATGATTAATAATTACTGTTAGCTAAAGATTTTCAGAATTATATATTATATTATAGTTGCATCTCTAATTGTATAAAGTTGAATGCAGTTTGGAGATTTCTGGGTTGCAGCTAGGATTGTGTTCATTGATGATCCAGAGTGGTACTATGCTTCGTGTCGAACCAAGGGTTGCAACAAAAAGCTTAAACTGAAAGGGAAGTGGCTGTGGTGTAGTACATGTGACAGAAATTGGGGTGATGGGACACTGAGGTACAGAGTTAAGGTTAGGGTTGTGGACTTGGATGGCAATACTCTTTTTCTTCTATGGGACAGGGAGTGCCTCGATTTAATTGGAATTAGTGCAGATGATTTGAAGGATACCCATACAAAGGTACTAATACTATTTCATCATGTCCTATACTATTAGCTTAATACTACTAACTTTGTCATCTCATGAAAAACATTAATATAATGATCCAAATTACTACTAACTTTGTCATCTCATGAAAAACATTAACATACTACTAACTTAGTACTATTATCTTATAAACCGTTATCCAGTTACATCCAAAGTATCCAAATAATTCTCTTTGGACCACCTAAATGAAAAACATTAATATACTATAACTTTCATAAGTATTGTATCTCTGTTAACTAATTGAATTACCTGCAGGGAAGAAAGGGTCTACCTAAGGAGCTTGAAACTCTAATCGGACTGAATCTGTTATTTCGAATTGCTGTGCGTAAGGAACAGTTCCAAAACTATCTCAATGCTTTCCCTGTTATGAGAATCATCACTGATGAAAAGATTGTAGAGAAGCACGCACCAGAGCTAATCCAAGTTAGGGACAGGGACCTCTCATCAAAGTTGGAGTTGGAGCTTACGGACGAGGACCTATGGGATATAGAGGTATACTTGCTGATCCAGAAACATATTATAAGAATTACTTTATAAACTAAGAGTATTTTACATTTACATTTTGAACATTTGGTTGTGTAGGATATAGACCAAGCAAATGAAGCTGAAAGTCCTCTCCAAGTTGTTGCACAGAGACTGAACGAAGATAACAGTATTGAGAATGGAACCGTGAAGAGATCGCTAATTGATGAGTTTTCCAGCACACAAAGTTCGAAAAAAAGCAAGGACAGTGTTGTGAAGATTGAGAAAGAAACAGATTTGTAATGAATTAAATGGCTGACAATGTGCTCTTTTGGTTTTTTTTTTTTTTTTTGAAGAATGCTTTTTGGTGACATTATTGTGTTTTTCCAACAACAGCTGGACTGAACCTTTTGATATGCAGTATGGTTTTTTTGGTTTAGTACCAAACATGTTAAACGTACTCGATTTGTGATATTCCTATTGCAAATTTTTTTTTTTTCAGAAATTGATTGATGGCACAGGCATAGAAAGATTGCAGACATAATGGTAAAAGAATGCAAAGGCTTGCAGACATGGTGGGAAAAGATCAATCAGATGGCATGCATATCCCTAAAGACCAAACTGATGGCACACAAATCAGTTGAAGTAGCTGAAATCAGCATTCAAAAGGACCATCAAATGGTTTATGTTAGCATGTAATACACCTGACACTTTATAATTATGTAAGATTAAGGAAGATTAGTGTAGGGTACTCATTAGGACCATACAAGTCTTATTTTTGGAAGTTTTTTGTGCTCTAAATATTAATGATTAAATAAGACTATTTTTATTCTGATAACTATTTGTAAAACTTATAATTATTGGTTATCCCTAAGTCTATACTTTGTTAATTATGTCACTGCTACAGCTGGATACACTCACATGGAAGCATGTTGTCATCCAAAGAAATGTAACTAAACTAATAAAAACTGAATATTAAATTTAGTAGATCATATAAGGCAGCCAAAGTTAGTAGTACTACACTGCAACTGTAAATCCAAATGTATTTCGTATTAGGATTAAAACAATACAGTGCAACTGTATTTGATCTCTCAACAATTTGGCAAAGTGTCATAAATTAACAGGCATTCAATTATTTAAAAAATGAATGTGTGATAAAAGCAAAAAAAAGTTATATCACTTAATCATATTAGATGGACAAATAATAGTAAACAAAATAACAAAGTCACACGTGTATATAAAAAATAGTCTTATCACTCCACAATATCAACACTAGATTAAGTAAACTATATAATACATTAGTTTTCAATGAAGTACAGTAACAACTATCAGGGACCTAAAGCTATTGTTGGAAAGTAAAGTAAAAATGTGTTTCCAAGTACGCATAATTGAAAACTAAGGGACTTACCAGTTGTTGACAACAATCTACAGTTGATTATCTCTTCAATGACCTTTTATACAATATAGATTGTGTTGCATCTTACCTGCAGTGGAACCAACAACCATTAAATTAAAAATACGACTTGCAGCAATTTAATTAGGATCTTAGTGCTTATTAGGGACTTACCAATTGTTGACAACAACTTTGGTGAAAAGCAAGCGTCCTCAATTAATGTTAGGTGAAGACCTTTTGATGTGCAGCTTACCTGCATTTGGAGGATTTGGAATTAACTGAATAACTGCTTTAAAGTACTACTTGGTTAGGAACAATGAAAGGAAATTATTCTGCTTAACTAACATTTGAAATCACATTAGATTAAGCCGATTTTGGGTATTAAAACTTATCTTTTAGACGTCCGAAGCAACTGTTAATACAATATTCTGGACTCCAACTTTGTATCTATGAAGCATCCACAAATTATTGTAGATAAATACAATGTAGGTGTACCAGCTTACCTGCAATTGGATAATTACAATTAAACAAATTAAAGCATCATTAACATTAGATAATTTATGAACACTCAAAGAATATCATTATTCGTGTGTATCTTTAATGTAAATCACATTAGATGGACTTCAAACTTATCTTTAAGGCCCCCGAAGCATGTGTAAATACAACAGTCGCAAACACAGATCTTTATCAAATAAAACCTATCACAATCATGAGTATTTGTGGGCTTGATCCGACTACTGTCTACCTGCAAAACAAAATATATATTATGATATTATGTTAGCTAAATAAGAAACCTATTTACATTCCAATCAAATTTGATAATTACAGTTTAGTATGAAAGAAATTACTAATAATATTCATCTACCTATGTTACTGGACTTCCCTGTGCATTAAGTAGCACAACTAACCCTTTGAGTATTCCAAAAGCCATTATAATTGCCATTTTTCAAAGTTGTCTCCAAATATTAATTAAATAGTTCTTTACAACTATATAATCAACACAGAGAGATTAAACACCTGTTTTAAACACCACCTAAACAATTCCTTATTCTAACCAATACATCTCCCTAAGAACACATGAGGAAACTTACATCTACAACCACCATTGGTTCGAAGAGGAAGCATCCCAGCAACAACGAAGGTAAATCTATATAAACTTCTATCTTTATTATAGCTATCTGTCTTCCTATATAGATAGAGATTATAAGAAATTTTTGGGTACATTGTAAAAAAAATAAAAAAAAAATATACTTATTAAACAACGGATTTCAACTTCTCGGACTCCAAATTAAAAATCATCCTATAAATTAAACGGTTAGCAAAATTCATATGCATGTGTTGTATACTCGGATTACTTCTACAGATTTAATAGATAAACGGTATCAATATCCCTATTTATATATAGATCTGAACAACGTAGATTAATTAGGTTAGAAATACATACCCAGTTTTGTTGTTATTTTCCAAATCGAATAGCTGAACCACCGATTCTGCAAAATGGTCACCGACTCGAATCGCACACATTTATGTCCACGAATGTCCGATCTCTATGTACCCATGAACTCCGGCGACTATAGTGTTCACCGGATCGAATCAGTGCGTTGATAGTCCAGATCAAACCTCCGATTTGTGGCTGTGACCGTACTATGGACACTCAGACGTCGAGTATGCCGAGAGTTATTTGTCAGTCGATGCTCCAAATAAACATCATCTTCATCGTCAATCCATAGTACAGAGTACACAAGACTCAGCAATCAAACCCTAACCCCTTACTCAGCTCCATTTTTAGAGAGAGAAACAAGCTTGATTGCCCGGCGAAATGAGCTCACAACTGAGCGTTCAAGGGGATTAGGAAAGCGACATCATCGACGGACCATCTCACTGTCATTTCCATTTTACATTATTATTATTATTATTATTATTATTATTATTATTATTATTATTATTAATGTTATTATTATTATTATTATTATTATTATTATTATTATTATTATTATTATTAGTATAATTGTTATAGTATTATTAGTCTAAAAGTTTTTGATGATTTCTATTATTAGTATGATTGTTATTATTATTATTTTGGTTATTATTGTTCTTATAAATAATTGTTAGCCAAATATTAATCTCCATCATTAATGTGCTTATTATAAGAACAAATGCGTTCCACTTATGCTATTTAGTAATAAATATAATAAAACTATTACGAAGATTAATAGCATTTTCCTTATTTCTAAAAATCGAGACATTGCTATACAAAAAGATTTGCATTATTATTATTATTATATTATTAATAGATATGTCATTATATAATATTATCATGACATATTACGAAAAAAATAATGTGATAATATGGTTAAATATAAAATTTGCAATATTGGTTTAAAATTATCGGTATTATTATACAGTACAATAGTGACATCATTTACGAACTCTTATTGTATAATTACAGTATAATTTGTTATTATTGTCAAAAATTGATCCAACGAACAATTTATGATATTTGATATACATATGTGTTTACGCTGCAGCGAATGAGAATAGTAATATCATTGATGCAGCCTACATGTCGCCAATTGAATCCAGCCGGAATGCAGGCAATAGTAAACCGCTTATTGGTGTTTTCCAAAGTTCGCTAAGTACGCCATTAAGTATGGTTACAAATGGTAAGTTTGGCCTTTAACACAATGTATGTCCTTAGTGAATAAGTTGTTAATATATACTTCATACTGTAATTCACAACTTCAAGCGTAATTAGTATGACAATTCGGAATACACCGCTGCAAGAGTTGAGTTGCAGAATACCGTTAAGCAACATATCAAATAGTACGAATCTCAACCATTACTTTTCGAGTTCAGTTTTGTAGATGAAAAAAATGGAATTAGTAAAATGCTATACTTAACATTCTAACATCTGTTTTGTGTGGCTTTTATACAATTAAAGCAAATTGCGCTCGAGATGAGGGGGATCGTGATAAACCACTTAGTACAAAGCGCCGCAATCGTTCGTTCGACTTAAATAGATCACCGGATTCGCAACTAGGTATAAATTGTTAATTCAATAATGTACTTATTACTTATATTAAAATAAAACCCTTGAGTTAGGTTTTTTGTAAGGATCTTTCTTATTTATTTGTTAATAATAGTCGTTGTTTCTGCATTTTGACAGTTTCTTCTCCGATACGAAGGACAATATATACTACATCAACGCAAAATTTGAGTAGCAGAATGCCGTTTAGCAACGTAGCAAATAGTATGAACTTCAACAAATATAAATATTGTAATAAGAGTATATAGTCAAATCGTTTACTTATTAGTCTAACAAACTTTGTCTAAAATATCTTTTTCATTATAGCAAATTGCGGTACAGTCAATGAGGACCACGGCAAAACGCCTACCTGTAACCGTCAAACTTGCACCTTCGACTTAAACCGAACACCAAATTTGCAACTAGGTATAAATATATATCGAGGGATAGAAGGATAGATTTTTAAATTTAGGCAGTTATAATGTTTAAGTAAATATGTAATCATTTTGACTTTGTATTTCATATTATTTTTTTAGGGTTTGAAAGTAATTGTTGTATTACAAATGACAATAATATGCAAATAGTCGTTGTAGAGCCGGAGAGTCAACCCATCGAGCATTGCCAAAATTTGATGCATGATTTTCAGGAAGTTGTTGAACCATTACATGACAATATGCCCTCAAATAATGGTGAGTTCATTTGAGATATGTTATGACCAGAACGTATTCTCTTTGTATTAAGGGACTATCTTACATTATTATTTTATATACGAACTAATACATTTTTTCTTTTGACTAGGTTATTATTTTGATATTGGTGATCCAGATTATGTTTGCGAGCATTGTAATTCGTTTTTTTGGTACAATGAACGGTCAAGCAATTCCAGGGGCTCTGAAAATCCAAAATACTCTGCATGTTGTGTCAATGGGAAGATAAAGTTTCCATTAATGACAAAGCCTCCTCAGAAGTTGCATGACCTATTCTTTACCACCAGTGATAAAAATAAATGTTTTTTAAAGAATATAAGGTCCTACAACAACATGTTCTGCTTCACGTCCATGGGTGGGAAAATTGATAGAACTATTAACAACGGAACATCACCGCCTATATTCCGTATTAATGGTCAAAATTTTCATCGCATTGGGAGCTTAGTCCCTTCAATTGGCATTCAACCTAAATTTGCCCAATTATACATTCACGATACAGAAAATGAGATAGAAAATCGATTCAACTCTTTGAGGTATACTGTTTAGTGTTAATAAAATATATTTTAGTTAGATCATGGCTGAATACGGAATATCTAATATTTTATATTCTTCGTTATTTAGGGCGCAAAACAATGGTTCTACATTGCATGTTGAGGTAGTACACGACATTAAGCAAACGCTAGATGAACACAATGTGTTGGTTAAGTCATTCCGAATGGCCAAGTCGTTTATTGAATCTAATCCTCAAACTCATATAAGAACGAGATTAATAGGGAAGAGGACCAAAGATGCCAGAATTTATGCACTTCCAACTACTTCCGAGGTTGCCGCTCTCATTGTTGGAGATATAGACCCTTACATGGGACAGCGTGATATTATTGTCGAGTCTAGATCTGGAGTCCTCAAACGAATAAGTGAATTAAACCCAACTTATTTACCATTGCAATACCCAATATTATTTCCATATGGAGAGGATGGTTTCAGGGAAGATATACATTTTGCTCCACATCGTACTAAACAAGACTTTTCAAGAAAGAGTGTTTCACAAAGAGAGTACTTCGCGTTCCGTATACACGAAAGATCAAATGAGACCTCAACTATAATGTATGCTAAAAGGTTATTCCAACAATTCTTGGTTGATGCATATACTATGGTTGAATTTTCGAGGTTACTCTATATTCGGTTAAATAAAAAAGCTTTGAGGTGTGAGGCGTACAAAGGTCTCTCTGATGCGCTGACGCGAGGTGAAGTTCAACCCAGTTCTCAAGGTAAAAGAATAATATTACCTTCAAGTTTCACTGGAGGAGCAAGGTACATGATACAAAACTATCAAGACGCCATGGCAATTTGCAGATTTATAGGTTATCCCAATCTTTTTATTACATTTACATGTAATCCTAAATGGCCTGAGATAGAACGCTTCTTGGAGAAAAGAAACTTGAAAGCTGAAGACCGCTCGGACATTGTTTGCCGTGTTTTCAAAATGAAGCTAGACTGTTTAATAAAAGAAATAAAAAATGGGAAACTATTTGGTCGCGTAAAGGCAGGTGTGTAACGTATTTCATACGAAGTGTTTTTTTCGCTTAATAATTAATATAGTAACCTTATAACTGACAATATCAATACATGATTAACAGTTATATACACAATTGAGTTCCAGAAACGTGGTCTTCCGCATGCTCACATATTACTGTTCCTGCAAGCGAACAACGAGTTTGCAGACCCGACCTTTATGGACACGATCATTTCAGCCGAGATCCCCGACAAGGTGACAGAGAATGAATACTACAAACATGTTGGAGAATTCATGTTGCACGGCCCGTGTGGTGCTGCCAGGATTAAATCACCGTGCATGGCAAATGGCAAGTGTTCAAAGCATTTTCCAAAAAGATACATTGATGCATCGCATTTTGACCAAGATGGTTACCAGTTGTACCGAAGGAGGGATGATAAGAGGACAATAAAAAAAATGGAATAGAGTTGGATAATAGATATGTTGTACCACATAATCGGTACTTGCTCTTGAAATACAAATCCGATATTAATGTTGAGTGGTGTAACCAATCCAGGTCAATCAAGTACTTATTCAAGTATGTAAACAAGGGCAACGACCGGGTCACTGTTGAGTTTTATAAGGCTACGATCGATGGAGTTGGTAACGAGATTGTGGATGAGATAAACATGTATTATGATTGCAGATACGTATCTGCATGTGAGGCAACATGGAGGTTGTTTAGTTTTGAAGTACAGTACAGAACTCCCCCGGTTGAGCGATTAAGCTTTCACTTGCCGGACTGCTAATCAGTTGTTTTCCAAGACGATGATACGATTGATAATGTCCTCAATAGGGAAACCGTTGGGAAAAGTATGTTTAATGCATGGTTTGTAGCCAATCAGAATTTCAAAGAAGCGAGTTTACTGACGTACATCGAGATGCCTACCAAATTTGTGTGGAAGAAGGACATCCGTGAATGGCATCCAAGAAAGAAGGGTTCCTCAATTGGTAGAATATTCTATGTACCTCCAGCTTCAGGGGAAATATATTATTTGAGGTGTCTATTGAACATAGTCCGTGGTCCAACAAGTTACAAAGATATTAGGACAGGTAACGGTGTTGAGTACTTAACCGTTAGAGATGCGTGTTATGCTCATGGATTGCTAGACGATGATAAAGAGTACATTGATGCTATAAATGAAGCAAGCTACTGGTCCAATGCGCATTCATTGAGGAAGCTATTTGTTGTTTTACTAACATCATCATCAATTATTAGACCCGAAAATGTTTGGAATCAAGTGTGGGAACATTTGTCTGAAGATGCTCAACACTATCAAAGGAGAGTATTAAAACAACAAGGTAATGTTACTTCTTTAGTATACAATAAAGTTTTCAACATTTTTACTAGATTATACTTATAACTATTTTGATGCTGTTATTGTAACAGATTTGTTCTTAACAGAGGAAGAGAAAAAGAACTTTGCATTAATTGAACTGGAAAACCTGTTGGGTCAACAAAACAAGTCTTTAAAAGACTACCCCCCGATGCCAACACCAAGTACTGATAATTCACGGTTGTTTCAAAATCGATTGGTTTTTGAAGAGTTGTCTTACGATTCGGAACAGTTGAAGACAGATTCTGAGGTCCTTTGTGCCAAACTAACTGAAGAACAGGGTCTCATATATGATACTGTTATCCAAGATATTGAGAACAAGAAGGGTGACTTATTTTTTGTTTATGGTTACGGTGGAACAGGAAAGACTTTCCTGTGGAGAGCTTTATCAGCTGCAGTCAGATGCAAAGGCCAAATCGTTTTAAATGTCGCTTCAAGTGGCATAACTTCTTTGTTGTTACCAGGTGGCCGGACTGCACACTCGAGATTTGCAATACCTATTGCAATAAATGAGGACTCTACCTGTAACATTAAGCAATGTAGCGACTTGGCTGAATTGCTGATCAAGACGAGCTTGATAATTTGGGATGAAGCTCCCATGATGCACAAACATTGCTTTGAAGCTTTAGATAGAACCATGCGGGATTTGTTGCGTTTTGTAGACCCTAATAGTGAAATGAAGACGTTTGGTGGTAAAATAGTTGTTCTGGGTGGAGATTTCCGCCAAATTCTTCCAGTAGTTCCCAAAGGTACACGACAAGACATTGTTTCTTCAGCAATCAATTCATCATACCTATGGGATAGTTGCAAAGTGTTAAGGTTGACTAAAAACCTCAGGCTCAGCTCGGTACCAAATGGTGGAAACCGACAGGCGTTACAAGAGTTTGCTGACTGGATTGCCAATATCGGCGATGGGAAGCTTGGTGGGCGGAATAACGGGTTTGCAGATGTTGAAATACCAATGCACATGTTAGTATCATCCGGGGGGGACGACATTAAAGCAATTGTGCACAGTACATTTCCTATTTTTGCAAGTGGAAACACTGACCCCGAGCACCTGTTGGGTCGTGCAATATTAGCACCAACGCTCGACGTTGTCAACGCTGTTAATGACTATATGACTGAGTTGCACAATGCCGAAAGTAGGTCATACTATAGTTCAGACGCAGTAAGCAAAGCCGATGGCGATAACGGTATATTTGGAGACGTACACACACCGGAGTTTCTAAATAGCATTCGGGTTTCAGGTCTACCAAATCATACACTGACTTTGAAAATCGGATCACCAGTAATGTTAATGAGAAATATTGACCATTCTCTTGGTTTGTGCAATGGAACTCGGTTGATAATCACAAAGCTAGCAGATCAAGTGATTGAAGGCGAGATTCTGACTGGTCCCAACAAAGGTACAAAAGTGTTAATCCCCCGAATGTCAATGGCACCCTCGGATCCAAGATTGCCGTTCAAGTTTCAACGAAGACAATTCCATTGATGCTTTCATATGCGATGACCATAAACAAAAGTCAAGGCCAAACGTTGACTCATGTAGGTTTAGTACTAAAGAAACCGGTTTTTGTACACGGTCAGTTGTACGTAGCTGCATCTCGGGTTAATAATCCAGACGGTCTCAAAATATTGATAGCAAAAGACTCAAGTTCAACTACAACCTCAACCACTAATGTTGTATATCATGAAGTTTTCAATAATTTGTAGTTTTCTAATGTATTATTTTTATATTACCATCACCTTTCTACTATTTCTAACATACCATTTTCAGTTGGTTTTTGTTGAGCTCCCAAATATACTTAATGATTATATTCCAAATTCTTACTGTATTGCTTCAACCAATTTTTAACATAACATAAACATAATTAATAATATGTAATTTACATCTCGTGCATCGCACGGGTCAAACACTAGTTTGACTTTTAAAAAAAATGGTTGTATTATCTACTATACTAATAAGAGCCCAAGAGAGTTAGGCCTATAATAGGTAGAAAAAATGGCGGTTAAATTTTTTAATCAAATGAATGGCTCAGATTGATCAGATTTTAATTTTTTATTGAGATTCCCTAATTAATCCTTAATGAATATGATTATCCGTTAACTTTTCCGTTAAATATTATATTTTACGTTAATTTCTGTTAGTTCACCGTTAACTTACTCATTGATTTCAATAAGAAAGGTCTTAGGTTCCGTTAATTTCTGTTAGTTCACCAAACAACTTACTCATTAATTCCAGTATATTTCTTACACTAAAATTTTTTTTATCTCCAACCCATTTACACCAAATTTTATTCCTACACTAAAATAATTTATATTCTCATAAATTAAAAGTTTATATTGATACTTTTATTATTTTAATATAACATATATTGTAATTGAATAAACTAAACTTTAATTATGTTTTATGTAATTTTATTTTTAATTAAATTATATTCAATATTAGTCTTGTTTTAATCGTCTTATGAGAGCTTTCTAATGATATAATTTTTTTAAAATAATATACAATTTATGTTTAAATATTTAACAAAATATGTGATTATATAAAAACAAAAAATGATACAAAAGGAATTATAAAAAAAGATAAAGGGTAAAGCTGGGATAAAATAAAAAGAAAAAAGGTAGTCAGAAAATGGCGTAGATGAACATGTCGCGCCATATATGGCGCAACAGTGTTCATCAACACCATATTATTTGTGTTTTTGCTGCTTTACGCCAAACTTTTTGGCTATTTGGAGATTTGCCGTCTCCTTGGAGATGGCCTAAGTAGAGTTGTGGGTTGAATTTCTTTTTTACTCATTCCCGTGTTGGATTGCTTGTATGCAAACCCACTGTTCCGGTGGGGTCTCTATTTTGGATATGTTCAACCCATATAATCTGTTGAGTTCTGTTCTCTGTGTGTGATGCTTTTCGGTGAAAAGAAGAACATAAGAAGTTGTGGTGTTTGGTTCTGTGATAGGATTGAGAATGGGGTTTGTTTTGTGTAGCTTTTTGTGTTTTAAATAATTCGAGTTATTTCGATCGTAGAAAAATGAATTTTGGCTCCGGTGGCTCTCTGTTGTGTATAAGTTCAAATCATATAATATGTTGAGTTCTGTTCAGTGTGTGTGTATGTGTGTTGGGGTATTGCTTTTCGGTGAAAAGAACATAAGAGGTGGGGGTGTTTGGTTCTGTGATGGGATTGAGAATGGGTTTTTTTTTTTTTTTTTTTTTTTTTTTTTTTTTTTTGTGTGTTTAAAATAATTCGAATCTTTTGGTTTTGTTATTTCGATTGGTGAAAAATGAACGTGGGCTCTCTGTTGTGTATAAGATCAACTCATATAATATGTTGAGTTCTGTTCTGTGTGTATGTTTGGGTGTTGCTTTTCTGTGAAAAGAAGAACATAAGAGGTGGCGGTGTTTGGTTCTGTGATGGGATTGAGAATGGGGTTTTTTTGTGTGTTTAAAATAATTCGAGTCTTTTGATTTTGTTATTTGGATTGGAGAAAAATGAATGTGGGCTCTCTGTTATGTATAAGTTCAACTCATATAATATATTGACTTCTGTTCTGTGTATGTGTTGGGGTGTTGCGATGTTTGGTTCTCTGATAGGATTGGAAAGGCTTGGATATAGTATTGAGTTTGGTATGTGTAGCCTTTTGTGTTTAAAATAATTCGAGGTTTAGGTTTATATGAATGTGTGCACACTATTATTATTATTTCATAATGTCTATTTTTACATGTGCGTTGCACGGAAAAGATTTGTTATAATCTTAAAATTATAACAACGAATATTATATAGTGCAATTGATGAAATGCGTTGTATCGATTATGTTTTTTTATGTTATCCTTGTTTGAATTTGAGCAAATAATTGCCCAATTATCCGTGGAGTGTTCGTGCGATGTGCGTGCGATGCACGGATAATTTTTTTGTTATATATTTAGATAATAAAATTACGGTATTAGTTTTATAGATTTTAATTTTGGTAGGGCTTTATTTATTTATCCGAACAAGGCCACCAAAATCTAAAAACCGGCTCTGGCCCTGAAAGAACTTTTGAATGGGGATTTATATATACGGAAAAAGAAGAAAAAGAAAACAGGGTTTTGGACTTTGGCGTTGGTTTTTGTTGTAGCGTTGACAGAAGTGGACCGCTGTTTTCTCTTAAATTCTTGACTATCTCTCCTACTAGCGCCTGGTTAGTGGTTTTCCCCTTAATAGTATAAATACTGCATTAACCCAATGCATATGTACAGGAGAAGATACACTAACATAGGAACATAAAACTCGCCGCCCATTTTCCTCCACTACACCGCGAAGCCAGGCCAAACGACAGAACAACAATGGAGCGTAAGACCATCTCCAACCATATTCATACAATTATTTTATTGACAATTAGAATCAATTTTGACTATATTATCTTGCATTTGTAGACTTAAAATTATCAATTTAAATACGCAAATTCAACATTCAATTATTTATGCATGAACAATTTCAATATAATCTTGCGTTGATATACTTTAAAATACTTATTTTAAAAAAATATTAGGCATTATCCCAATCGCGCAATGCGCGTAAAAAACTAGTTATTTAATAAAGATTAGATTGGCTAACAGGTTCTCCGTTGAAGTGATTATGTTTTAAGGTAAGTGTCTAATTGTCTATGTTCTTTCAAAATTTACTTTGCCTTATTAAATGTGCTATTTATCTGAATTGTGTCCTTAAAACTATTTTAAAAATGTGTTCTAATTTCAAAGTATGATAAATAGTAAAATATGTATTTTTTGGTGTTAACTCGTGACTCGCAAATCTATTAATATGTCTGTATATATATATATATATATATATATATATATATATATATATATATATATATATATATATATATTTTGAGAATATTATGGAAAATGAGGAGTATGAAACTATACTTATTTTTGGAAAGATATCAACTATATTTATATTCGGAGGATAAATACTATTTTCCAAAATATATTATACCCTATGTTACTCTTGAAAACTATATTTAAATAGCATTCGTGCAATGAAAATGTTTATGAAAACGTATTTTGAAATGTTATTATTATTTTGGAGGAAATTATATAAAAATGTATTATTTTGGAGATTGTCATATTGATTGGATTGTGTTGGAGGTGGAGCTCCGACTCCATTTGATTATTGATTGAGCTTCGACTCTATTATTTTGATTATTTGATTGAGTAACCTGGTAGAAACATATCTTGGGTTCTATTATGATTATTATTATTATAAAAAATAACCTGGTAGAAACATGTACACATGCTTTACAGTAAAAAAAAAAAAAAGAAATATATATATATATATATATATATATATATATATATATATATATATATATATATATATATAACGTGACTTAAACAACAAAAGATCAAACCGTCAAAATTAAAATTTAAAATTTCATCATTTAGGATCAAGGTCCACAGTGTACTATGGACTCTGGTCTACGATATAACGATTGACTACAACAATTTAAATCATGTACCAAGGTTTACATAACATTATGGATCTTGAATCAAAACGACGAGATATAGAATTCATATTCGTAAGGTGTAAAATTTCACAACACAAAATATAAAAAATTACAACACAAAAGACAAACACATACACGGTATACACCAAGATCCATAGTACATTGTGCACCCTTGTCCATAGGATAAGGAGTCATGCACTACATTGCAAAAGAATATAATGCCCAAATCCTTTACCGCCTAAAGGCTAAAATAAGTCCACAATTTCAATAGTGTTTAGAAATGAGTAAAGAGTTAATACCCAATATAGTTTTTGACTATAGTGGTTTTACTCAATTTTTTTCTAAATGACATTTTGTACTCAATTTAGTCTTCGACTTTGATGATTTTACACAATTTAGTCCTTTGTTTAAAATTCTGTTAGTTGACTGTTAGATTGTTTACATTTTTTTTTTTTTTAAATTTAGGGTTGAAGTTGATTTGGGTACGAAGATTTGCATTTCTACGTGAATCTTAATAAGGGGATGAGAAATTATCATTAGGACCCTATTTCTAATAGTCAACTAACAGAATTTTTAACAAAGGAATAAATTGTATAAAACAATCAAAGTCGATGACTAAATTGAGTACAAAAAGTCATTTAGAACTAAATTGAGTGCAATCACTATAGTCGAGGACTATATTTGCTATTACCTCGTTTAGAAATTTAAGTTTCGTTTACTAACTGAAATTAATTGATACACATACAAGATTACCTTCTTCTCCAAACACATACAAGGTTACCTAATATTATGAAACCTTACCCAACCGTTATGGTTTCCCTAATTTCCCCCATTGTCTCTCTTATAGCACGTTTGGTTCACGGAATGATATTTAAGGGAATAGGAATAGTATTCCATAGGGAATGGAATAAGCCTGGAATAGTATTCTCAATTAGTATTTTCACCCGTGCGATGCACGGAATGAATTTGTTGTAATATATTAATAATATTTGAATCGATATATAATTATTTAAATTATAACATCAAATATTATATAGTGTACTTAAGATATGGTTTGTATCGTTTATGTATTTTGATGTTATCATTGTTTGAATTTGTGCAAATAATTGTTCAAATTAATAGCTAATGTCTAGATGTACGCATGCGGTGTTATAACTTTGAAGATTTTATTTATCATTGTTTAGTATTTTCATAAATTAGGCGAATGTGCTCCTTCTCTAACAACTCAGTTATAGGAATTAATTGCTATCCTAATTCATTTGTATGGAAGATATATTTTTTGTATAGATATATAACAATTTTTTCATTTAAAAACAAAAAAACATAACTAGCAATTTGCTCCAAACAGCTAAAAACTAAAACAACACATATACATTTTGGGTTAATATTTCCCAAACACCCCTAATAAATAATTTTTTTTTTTTAAAAAAAACTAAAATAAGAAGTCATTAAACTAAAACTTCTTAAATAAGAACCTTTTAACTTCTCAATACTTGCCCACATTAATGGACAAAAAATTATATTTGGAAGATGAGCATTGCTCTTCATATACAGAGGAGCTCAAGAGATCCTCTTTCCAAACATCATTTACAAAAGAGAGCATGTGGCTCCCCTTTGTCTTTTTTCTTTTCAATTTTAATTTTATTTTGTATATAGTTTCGTTTTGATTATTATATTATTAATTATTATTATTATCATTAATATTGTATTTTATTTTATTATTAAATTATTATTACATTATTACATAATAATAATAATATAAAATTTCTTTTAAAAGAAAAGTGTTTTCTGAAAAAAAAAAAAACTAAAATTAAAAGTCATTAATTTAAGACTTCTTAAATAAGAGTCTTTTGACTTCAAATACTTGTCCACGTTGAAGGACAATCAATTATATTTAGAAGAAGATCATTGCTCCTCTTATATAGAGAAGCTCAAGAACTCCGTTTTTTAAACATTTTCGATGTAGGATCAAAATGATCCCACGTCATTTATAGTGGCTCCACTTTGTCTTTTTTTTTTTTTTTTTTTTTTTTTTTTTTGTAAATTTAATTTTAATTTTATTTTGTATATAATTTTGTTTTGATTATTATTATATTATTAATATTAATATTAATATTAATATTATTGTTATTGTAATTTTATTTTATTATTACAATATTACATAATAATAATAATAATAATAATAATAATAATAATATAATTTTTTTAGACAATTTTTTATTGTGCAACCAAACATTAAAAAAAAATATTTTCTAGAAAAAAAATAAAGATAAGAAGCAATTAAGTTAAGGCTTCTCATTACTTGCCCACGTAGATGGACAATCAATTATTTTTGGGAGAGGAGCTAAAGAGCCCCTCTTTTTAAATATTTTCGATGTAGGATCAAAATGATTTCACATCATTTACAAAGGGGAGCTCGTGATTCCCCTTTGTTTTTTTATTTTATTTTATTTTATTTTATTTTATTTTAATTTTATTTTGTATATTGTTTTGTTTTGATTATTATTATATTATTAATATTATTATTGCAATTTTATTTTATTATTTCATAATAATAATAATATAAATTTTCTTTTAGACAATTTTCTGCTATGCAGCCTAACATTAAAAAGAAATGTTTTCTGAAAAATAACTCATTTTTCAAAAATTATTTTCCTAGTTTTCAAACGAACTTTAATATCTATACAATTAATTTGTTAAATGCCATAATAATTATTAGATAATGGTCTTGTTTAATTATTGACATGCCAAAATTTTAACAAATTTGTCATTTTAACATTTTGTCTTTACTCAAAACACCAAAAATATTATTTAATAACTCAGCATTTTACTCCAAATTGCTAAAAACTAAAACAACACATACATTTTGGGTTCATCTTTCCCAAACCCCCTAATAATAATAATAATAAAACTAAAATAAGAAGTCATTAAGCTAAAGCTTCTTAAATAAAAATCTTTTGGCTTCTCAATACTAATCTTTGTGCTGTGGAACCGTGTCCACCTTGCAAGAAGGACACGGTTCTATATTCATAATTACTGAATTATATGTTCATAAAGCTATATATTCATAATTTTGAACTATATATTCACAATTATAGAACTCTATGTTAATAATTACTTAACTATATGTTCATAATTATTGAACTATATGTTCATAATTATAAAGTTATATATTCATAATTTTTAAACTTCATATTCACAATTATTGAATCTCTATATTCATAATTACAGACCTATATGTTCATAATTATGTTCACAAATCTATGTTCATAATTATAAAACTATATGTTCATAATTTTTGAACTATATATTTATAATTATGGACAGTTTTGAAATCAAGGTGGACACGGTTCGACAACATAATATGCCTCTCAATACATACTAAAATTGATGGGCAAGCAACTACGTTTGTAAGAGGAGTATTGCTCCTCTTATATAGAAGACCTCAAGAGTTCCTCTTTCCAAACATTTTCGATATGGGATCAAAATGATCCCACATCATTTACAAAGGGGATGCTATTGTCTTCTTTTTCTTATTGTTTTTTTATTTTTATTTTATTTTTTATTTTTTTTATTTTTATTGCTCCTCTTATATAGAAGACCTCAAGAGCGCTTCTTTCCAAACATTTTCGATACGGGATCAAAATGATCCCACATCATTTACAAAGGGGAGGCCTTTGTCTTCTTCTTCTTCTTATTTTTTTTTTAAATAATTTTAATTTTATTTTGTATGTAGTTTTGTTTGGACTATTATTATTATTATTATTATTATTATTATTATTATTATTATTATTATTATTATTATTATTATTATTGTAATTTTATTTTATTATTATATTATTACATATGGTTTTTATTATACTTGAACAATATATATATATATATATATATATATATATATATATATATATATATATATATATATATATATATATATATATATATAGAGGGAAGGGCTCCCATGCATTTACTCCTTCCCGTGAATAATGAGGTTAAATCTGAGCCCCACGTAGCTCTGGATCGAACGAATCAGATTAATAGCAAAAATTAAGCGCGAATTGCTTATTAAGGGCATTTTTGTCCTTTTGATTATATTAAAAAATAAAATAAAAAATCTGTTCTTCTTCTTCTTCGAGCATTTTCAAAATTCACCATTGATTCCTAATCTTCTATATTTCCTAATCTCAGACGAATTTACGATCTCTACGGAATTGGCAATAAGATCTATTCTCTTCGTCGTTCAATATCATATTTGTCAAAATAAACCCTAAACCCATCAAAAACGTCAACCGAAGAACAATGGAAGAATTCGATCGAGGTATTACCCAAATTCTGTCGCTTTTCTGCAATTAATTTTATCTGCATTTGTATTGGCATCATTCTTGTATTAATTACACACACATTAAGCATGCAACTTAACCACCGAATTACTGAGCTACTTTAATTAATCCGAGCCTAGAACCTTACGCACGTAGATGATTAGGTTGCCGCATGATAATTTTTAAAAATGCACATATTACTGTTTGCTTCACACATGTTATACGTTGATCACACGCACATTAATTCCTCTCCAAACGCATGTTATGTTACTGGACTCTCTGACGCACGTTAAGTAATGACATAATATTTTAACAAACACTCACGCATGTTAACTGTTACACATGCGCACATTAACTATTACCCTGAAGCACGTTAATTTCTCACTTGCCGCACATACTCTAGTATTTTATAAATCTTCCATATTGACAATGATCTGATTAACTTAACGCATATTAAGTGTTCACATTACGCACGTAGAGGCTTGCAACAACACGATCATAACTTCATGCTTATATGTTACAGTTCCAATTGACATTCAATCTACCAACAACCCCAGTTTGAGTCCCAGCAGCAGCAGCAATGGTCATACATTGACCATATCTCCTGGAATGACACAGTATTGGACTCCTCACTGTGAAGATGAAATCAAACCAGCAGTAGACATGATTTTTAAAACATTGGATGCTGGTATTGAATTCTACAAACATTATGCTGCCAAAGTCGGGTTTGACACGAGGTCTAGTTCCGTCGTTACAGCACGTGACGGGACAAAAATTCAAAAGCATATCGTTTGCAACAGAGAAGGATTTAAGAATACAGGAGCTCAACATTGTCCCTCGCAGTCAAGTGCAGATGCAGGAGAAGGTCCTTCCCGTCCAAAGCGGCGAAGGGTTTCAAACAGAACTGGTTGCAGAGCTAGGATTATGTTTAGGTACATTGGAGCAGTTGGGTACCAAATTACCACTTTTATTGAAAAACATAATCACAACATGTCTTCGGTTCTGGCAAGGCAGTTTTTAAAAGGAAATAGAAACATCTCCAGTGTTCACCAGAAGTTTATACTCGACTGCGCTAAAGCAAATATTGGAGCATCAAAATCACACGGTTTATACAGTAATATTGTGGGGGATTATTCTGAAGTTGGAGCAACTGTAGTGGACTTTAAAAATGTCAGAAGGGATCTCAGAGCATACATATTGGGAGCTGATGCACAAATACTGGTGCATAATCTTATTAAGAAACAAGAGATGTGCCCTGCATTTGCTTTTGACTACGAGGTTGATGAAGATGAGCAGACTGTTTTGGGCAGATCCAATGTCAAAAAAGAATTTTGCTGCATTTGGAGATGTCGTCTCTTTTGATGCCACGTACTCAACAAACAGGTATATACTGTTCTATTCACATTCTTGCATACGTTTCATTAATTAATACACATTTAGCATTGCCTGATCTGTTGAGACATGTTAAGATTTAGACACGTTCACTGTTTTATAGAAAAAGAATTGAAATACAAATGTGGAATTTCCAGAATTAGACCTCAATTACATACGTGTGCTATTTTAATACTTACTGTGCGTTACTATCATTCTCTAAGTTCGGCAGTTTGACACCTGCATACTGTGATGACGCTTTCTGTCTTGCAGGTACGATCTGGTTTTTACTCCCTTCACCGGAGTTGATAACCATAAAAAATGTATAACATTCGGTGCTGGACTACTGTTGAAAGAAGACATTGAGTCTTATGTTTGGCTCTTTGAAAAATTTAAAAAGGCAATGGGTATGGAACCAAGAATAATTGTCACCGATCAAGATCCAGCTATGAAAGTGGCGATTCCAACAGTTTTCAAGCAAGCCAGGCATCGTTATTTCATGTGGCACATCATGTGTAAGGTTGGGGAAAAGGTGGGTCCTACGCTGAACAAGGATGAGGAATTCAGGAACAAACTGAACTCAATCGTTTGGACGTCATCTTTGGAACCTCCTGATTTTGAGAAGCAGTGGAGAGAGCTCATGGAAAAGTACAACTTAGTCGAACACAACTGGTTTAAAACTATGTTTGAGGCTAGAAAGCATTGGATTCCAGCGTATTTTAGAGATGTCTTTATGGGAGGACTACTCAGGACAACTTCTCATTCCGAAAGTGAGAACTACACGTACAACCGTTTTACTGGTCCCCAATCAAGCCTAGTTGAATTCATGATGAACTTTGACACTGCTCTTAAATCACAACGTAACACAAATGCAAAGCTCAACAGTGACAACGAAGGGTACAATCCAGATATGAAGACGCCTCTGGGGATTGAAAAGCACGCTTCAATCGTCTACACCATTACTGTTTTCTATCAAGTTCAGGAAGAAATATGTGCCTCCTGTTTCAAATGTATGGTGTTGAGTGTTAGAGAAGACGGTGGAATGTTGCACTATGATATTATGGATGGAAAGAACAAAAGATTTACTGTGGTGCACAATGTAAATGACCATGAGGCCAAATGCAGTTGCAAGATGTTTGAGATGGTTGTACTGTTGTGTAGACATGTATTTGTGGTCTTTAGAGACCTTGAAAGGATCCCTCTGAAGTACATGGTTAACCGGTGGACTAAGGATGCATCTTTAAAACACTAGTACAAAAAAAGCTTTTAGAGTCACCCATAAAACACTTTCCGAGTCACCTGTACAGGTGACTCGGATCTTGGAGACTGTGATTCTCCTCCGCTTTTCGAGTCACCCGTAAAGGGTGACTCGAAAAGCGGAAAATGGTTTTTTTTAATTTTTTAATACGGACTTTCCGAGGCACCTGCTCCGCTGCAAGTGCCTCGGATAGTCTTTTATTATTATTTTATTAATTTGTTTCCAAGACACCCACTTACAAGTGGGTGCCTCGGAAAGTTACCATTTAAAAAATATATATATATATATATATATATATATATATATATATATATATATATATATATAAAAGAAAAAATTACAGCAAAAAAGAAAAGTTTAATAAAGAAATGTTTTTTTTAAGCAGTTATTCATTGCCACCAAAACAATGTTTTACATATGACCCAAAAGTGGTCACCCCACAAGGGCATAATGCCTATACAAACCACTAACTAATCCATAATGCCACATTGCCTTAGTGCAAACCAATACTAATCAAATCTGTCATCAACTCAATCCTCTGACCTACTGAGTAACAGAAGCAGAAGCAAAAATATGAGATTCATTTCTGATGAAGATTGTATGAGGTCAGAGGTAGGTGTTGAAATACATCTTTGCAGCATCTAAGTGAAGCTTTTAAAGTGGAGTTTAATGCTGCCTTAGGATGGATCCCTCCTTGGGAGATGACATCTTAAGTAGAGCTACAAAGAAAAAGTTTTGGTTGAGGTGGATGTCTGGAGCTAGAAACCTGAGGACTGTTCTGGTTGCTCTGGGAGTTTGATGAAGAGCAATTTAATATATATTGATTCATGGAACGTGGAGGTATAAGGAGGGTCTAATTGAAGTTGTGCACCTGCAGAATCTGTGGCATTATTGGTGATCTATGGTAGGATTGGTAGCATTATTGAAGCTGGAATTGAAGCTGTGCACCTGCAGAATCTGTAGGGTCTAATTTGAGTTTAGGAGGCCATATGATGAGTCCCTGATCTGTTAGGAAGCAGAAGCACAGAATGTGGCAAAAATAAGTGAAAATACCTTGTTCGCTATGTTACCCAGGGAAGTTTAAAGAGAAAATACCTTGTTCGCTAATTCATCCTTGATAAGTATTTATAACCAGGAATCAATTATGATAACCTTTGTATAAGTTGTATTATTTTGTAACACAAATAATCAACTTTCTATTGTAAACAATAGAGTCATGAAATATTTTTTCTCAAGCTTTCACCATTCAAGATACTTTCTCTTAACTCTATATAATGAGTATTAACCATAAGTATATTTAAATCACACTTCATAAAAATAAATATTAAGGGTCTCATAACTTAGGCTATGTTCTAAAACCTTATACGCATAGATGAGATCATATTGATGCAGAGAATTTCACAAATGCAAATTCAGTTTCCTCGAAGAACATATGAAGTCTAGAAGTAATACCAATACCAAGTCATTACCTTAATGTGTGGATGGAAAACAGGAGGACTATGTGAAGCCAATACTAATCTTGTGAATATAAGAGCTTCAGTCTTTAAGTTTGAGGTAGATGACTTGTCCTGATACAGTAATGAAAAAATGAAAATAGTTAAAATAAAAATAAACAAACAAATAAGAAGGGAGAGCAAAAGACTAGGTACAAACCCCTCAAGCATACAACTTACACATAATGCCTTTTCAATCCCAGGTATGAGTGATCCAATATGCTCTGCAAGGCAATCAGGCAGCACAATCACCAGTTCTTTCAAAACTGAAAATGCACCAACCTGCAGGAAGAATGGAATAAGCAATTGATGAAGGCCAGTAGCAAAGAAAAAACAATATGGAGTATAAATTAGTAAGAACACATACCTTTGTTTTCACAGATTTCTCCCGTAGCTGCTTATTTACAGATCTAACAATTTTGGGTACCTCTTGGTTCAACAACCATCTGGGACTGCATGACAAGCCGAAGAGAAATTATTCAATGATTATTCATTTAACCAGTGTCATCATTACTGGAAGTTGTACTGAGAAAACTATGCATTCAGGAAAGCCTTTTCCCTAAAAAATGTAAAAGACTGTTGGTGTAAATGTCAGCAGTTTTATGAGTTGGAGCCACTAGAGATTGTCAGCTTAGTAAACATAGATATATAATTACAATGAAAAGAAGATCAGAACTCAAGTCTAAGGAATTTTATTCATTGAGGCCAGAGGTGGAGATAATCTTGCCTGGATTGGTTGAAGTCTGTCTGTCCCTTTGTTACATTTCCTGTTTGCCGAAGCAACTCAATGAATGTATTGAACATAAACATATGCAGAATAACTACTCAGAAAGCCGAGAATAAACCATCAAAGAAATCAGTCAAATGCTCAATTTCACCTTGACATTTTCTTCCCTTTCTTTAAACCTATCAATTAACTTTGGGCAAGCCTAATTAAACAAAAATAAAGTTAGGCAGTTAGATATGTTTACTTACAGTTAACAAAATTACCTTCTTTCAAGAAGACAAACAAAAGCTATAGAAGCAGTTCAGAATGTACCTCCTCATATAGCTTGGAAATCATTTCAAGACGAGAAACAATCAGTGCTGCCAAGCATTTAGCAGCAGGCCAGCAGCTCTTCTAACCTTCCAGCTGACATCTTCATCGTCTGTGTATTCATCAGCACTCTCACTACAATTCAATGAAGGATCATACATTCAGCATAAACTATCAAGACTAACTAACAATATCAGGGCTTAGCAAGCTCCAATTAATAAGAAATGGCTTACTCATCCTCCTCTTCCTCCTGAATTTCATCATCAGTAACTTCTTCCATATTATCAGTGAAATTGGGATCATAACTGAGAAATTCCAGAGTAAGATGCAAAATATGATCACAATAGGGAGAAATAGGTCCAGAACCGCACTTGCCTATTAGTAACAAGGAGAAAACTATCAAAGTTCAAAAAAGGTGTTAGGTTTTTTAATGACCAAATGGACTCAGATCTTTAGGAGGAAGAATACATGTTTCTTTTTGTCTTTCTCTACCCACGAGTATCTATCTCTCTCTCTCCATTGACAATGGGTTTCATGCATCATCAAGAGTGAAGTGAAGCAAGCAAGCAAGCAGTGAACCAAAGGTGCAGAAAGCTATTTTAACTTTAAATCAAAATTACCTTCACTCGCCGGCAATGGTGGCTGCGTCGGCGGTGTGGCTGACGGACGGCGTTGCAGTGGCTGTTGGCGAGGAGGCGACGAGAGGCGGTTGGAGCGGACGGTGGAGACGCGATGGACGGAGGCGGAGGAGCGGAGATGTTCGTCTAACTTGGGGATTGTGAGATTTGGGAGATTTGGGTCGTCTACAAGAAAGAACAAAAAAAAAATAAAATAAATACAAAAATAAAAACGAGGCGCTGTCTTTTGAAGGGTGCCGCGGATTCAATTTTTATTATTTTAATAATAAAATATTTGCGGCACCTACTACAGAAGGTGCCGCGGATACCCATATTATTATTTTATTAATTTAATATTCGCGGCACCTCTTTTCAGTTGGTGCCTCGGATTCCCCTATTATTATTTTAATAATATTATTTCCGAGGCACCTTTACTTGATTGGTGATACGGAAAGTTTTACAATTTCTTTTTTGAGACACCTTCATTGTGTAGGTGTCTTGTAAAGTGGGTGTCTATTCCAATTTTTGTACTAGTGAAAGCTACATTTGAAATAGATGGTGTCATTTATGATCAGAACGGACCAAAGGATGAAAAGAAGATGTTGCTGAACAAAGTGTAGTCTGATATACACTGTTGTATGGATATGGCAGGTTCAAGCATGGAGCAATTGATTGCATTTTCCCAAGTGATTAATGAACAGAAACAACTGCTACTGTCAGGCAAGGAGAAATTGTCCCCTCAGCAAAGCAGGAGAACTGTTATAGAATCATATTGTGGATCAACAGAAATTTCAGAGATCAACATACTTCCACCGAAACAGGCAAGGAACAAGGGCAACGACAAGCGCATCAAAAGCAGCAAGGAGTTGGCAATGGAAAAACAAGAGGGCAGGAAGTGCAATTTTTGTGGTGTTAGAGGAGATCACCATGACACCAGGACTTGCCCACTTAACCCCAAAAATAAGGACTGGCAAAAGGGTAAGAAAAAGGCATAGCAGACTATTTTTTCAACACCTTTACAGTCGAGAATGAAAATGGATAGCAAATATGAAACACAACTACTTAGTTAACTCATTTCAGAACGCTTTTTACAGTTGAGATACTTGTTTTTGTTTTTATCACTGATTTGTTTTTACACAATCACTGCTAGCTTAATGTGCGTGTTATTACTACTTTACCTGCGTGCAGTTAATTCTTAATATGTGTTGATTACAGTTTTAACGTGCGTTACATTAAACCTTAATGTGCGTAGTACAGAAACAGAATGTGCGTTCATTTATGTATAAAAACTTTTGTCCGTGGTAAACGTCTTTAATATGCGTACAAAGACAACATTTAACACTTTCTTTCTCTAATATGCGTTTAATTATTAGTTAATATACGATGCGTTAAAGATAATTCTAATATGCGCGACTAGAAAACTTAAAGTGCGTTTATTTGATTATGAAATAATTTGCAGACAAAATGATACAAGAACAACATGCGTGTAAATATAAATATAATTAATTTGCATCGAAATAAATGATTTTTTAATGCTAAAAGTTTAATGTGCGTCGTGAAACCAATTAAAGTGCGCGAAATACCAATCTAATATGCGATTATTATATATTATTAATAAATCCAAAAGTTTAATGTGCCTCGAGAAACCAATTAAGGTGCGCGAAATATAATTATAAGCTGAGTTTATTATATTTTATTAATAAATACAAAAGTTTAATGTGCGTCGCGAAACCAATTAAAGTGTGCGGAATATCATTCTAAGATGAGTTTATTATATTTTATTAAAAAAAAAAAAGCAAGTAGAATATGCGTTAATGATAACATAATAGACATAAAAGGATAATATATAAATTTTATTAATTAATAAATTGTATGACGAAAATAACAACAAGTAGTCACATAATACGCATAAAAATCTTGATATTTTCGTCAATATTCATCCTTATCACGCAGCCTCCTCATTGATTACATCCTCATTAGCCAAGTTTCCAACAGGAGCGTCAGGCACCTGTTCATCCATCAAATCGTGAAAGTTACTAAACTTTAAATACATCAATAAAATTATATAATAAAAAAAAAAGAGGAAAAAACAATGTAAGTATGCAATAGATCACCTCTTGATCGAAATCATAATCTTCTCGATCATAAGCATATGTTGGGAACTCAGCATCGTCTTTCAGTAATACTGCACTAGTTCTCTCACAGAACATCAGCATATACCAGAGACTAGAGGTCTTGTTTCTGTAGGTACTATAGGCCACCTCAAATCTAATGAGAAGATAAACTTTTCCTTCCACAAATCTGTTGACGCGCCTTTGCGCAAATGGTTGTGGAATGTGCATATGAATAAACGTCCCCTGAAATTATTTAAAAACAAAAAAAAAAAAAAACACAAAAAACATATGCATCAACAGTATATTTTATAAATATAAAATATTACTCCGTAAGATTTATATTACACTAAATAAAAATAATACCTCTACATCGTGAAGTACACACTCTATTGATCGGATTCTATCAGAACCTTTAGTTTCTGGCAAACGAACAACTCGTAGCACTCGAACCCTAATTAAATTCCAGCACAGTCCTATGCGGAGTTGGTTTCCAACTATTTCAGTGTGGGGTTCGGCTGCCATTGAAACTCTCTTTACAAGGTAGAGTAGAAAAGCAAAAATGTGTTTGAAAGAGACAGGTTTAGGTCGAGAATAATGGTGGATTTAAATAGCAAACTCTTAAAGGAATGCGACTGTTCGTATGTGACAACTTTAAGTCTAGCAGAACGCGACTGTTGATATGAAAATGTTCGATCGGGTATAATTGAACGAAAATGCGTCAATTTATTCACTAATATGCGCACCTTAAACACGTTATTATGCGTATTATTGCTACTTTACCTGCGTAAAGTTAATTCTTAATATGCGTTTATTACACTTTTAAAATGCGCTACATTAAGGCTTAATATGCGTAATACAAAAATAGAATGTGCATTGGTTTATGTATATAAACTTTGGTCCGTGGTAAATGCCAACGTCTTTAAATGCGTCGATTAACATTTAACTTTCGCGACTTTAAAGGTTAATATGCGTACAAATGCAATATTTAACACTTTCTTTGCCTAATATGCGTTTAATTATTAGTTAATATAAAGTGCGTTAAAGATAAGTATAATATGCGCGACAGCAAAACTTAAAGTGCGTTCGTTGAATTATGAAATAATTTGCAGACAAAATGATACATACATAAACGATTGCACATATTTATTTCTTCTAGTACTTTGAAGACATTTCTTCTGGTTCCGGCATCATCCGACACATCACCAGCCACCCACAATTGCTCAACTCTCAGCCTTCGGATGTTGTTTGGAAACTAGACGATGAGCTTGAAGAAGAGAATGACGAATGATGCTTCAGGTTTAGAATGTGTTGTTTTTGTATTTAGTTAAAGTCACTGCAAGCTGGAGGGCGATGAAGATGAAAATGCCAGAGAAGATGAATAATAAATGAAGAGGATTCTTCTCTACTTGCGGAAAAGTGAGAGATAGCCATTTCAATAACCTGATGCTCAGTTGTGTGTTGTTCCTTGTAATAATTTATATATAGGTGAATAACTTGGTCACATGCACTGATTTGAGATTTCAATGTTTCAAGATTTGCTTTAATGGGTGCGTTTTTTAAGGCATTGAATGACCATTCAATGTTATCCGTTTCCCCCACCAACTACAAATGCCTTAAAGTTCTGACATCAAATATCTTTGAATGTTACGTGGATTGGTATAAAAGACTTAATATGCGCGACCTACAAGAACAACATGCGTGTAAATATAAATTTAATCAATTTGCATCGAAAATAAATGATTTTTTAGAGCCAAAAGTTTAATGTGCGTCGGGGAAACCAATTAATGTGCGGGAAATATCAGTCTAATATGCGTGTATTATATTTTATTAAACAAAAAACAAGTACGGAGTAAAATATAATAAAAACTTCAAGTCTTTACAAGGGATCGATCCTGGGCAGAATCATTTTAATCAAAGACTTCTACCATTTCGCCAATGGGCTCATCCGTTACTTTGAATATAATATATTATTAATAACAACAACAGAGGAAGACATGAGAGCTTGTTTTTAATATGCGTAAGGCGTAGACGTAATGTGCGTTGGTTTTTTTATAAAATCTTTGGTCCGTCGTAAACACCAAAGTCTTTAGATGCGTTGATTACCGGCCAAAAATATTTTAAGTCTTTGCAGGGGGGGATTGGATCCTAGGCGGATTCGATATATTCAAAGACTTCTACCATTTCGCCAGTCAGCTCATCCGTTTATTCCTTGTATACCAAAATATATGTTGCCTACTTACTAATAACGAATCTAAAAGAAGCAATATGCCTCTATTTAATTCTTAATATGCGTTGGTTTACACTTTAAAGGTGCACTACACTGCGGCTTATATATGCGTAACACGGTAAACGTAATGTGCGTTGGTCTATGTATAAAAACGTAATTATTCAGACATTGCGTTGAAAATTAGTCCAGAATGCGTGATTGCAAAATTTAAAGTGCGTTTGTTTGATTGTGAAATAATTTGCATTTAAAATGACAAATATATGCTTTGAATTTAACATGCGCGACATATCAATTTAAAATGCGTGACATTGGAACACAATGAGCGTTGGTTTCTATATTAATAAAAATAATAATTTACAGTCTAGTACATTAGTATTTGTAAACGTAAATACACATTGAAACAACACCAATAACATTCAATGCATCTTTTCTAGTGCTTTGAAGGCATTTCTTCTAGTTCCGGCATCATCCGACATGCTGTC